GAGGGCATCCAATTCACACTAATGCACTACACCGCTAACGGTTTTTTAAGCACAACGCGCATTCACGAAGGTCCCCATATTCCTAGGAATGCGCGAAAACAACCAATCTCGCTCTTTTTCTCTCTGCAACCCCATAAAACTCCGCAGTAGATTTCTGATTTATTTTAGGATATTTTGACATATGCAAACATATATTCTGTCAATAGCTCATGACATCAATTCTGACAGTTCAGCACTGTCCCTTTAACTACGATAGGTAGCTAGAGCGATGAGCATCTTGACAAAAATGGGGAAAATTAGGTTTGTTTCTTAACCGAATTTAGGAAGGAGGTGTTTGGTTTCAGCCACCCACGCAAAGAAAGTTTACTTCGGGAATAAAAGTAGGCCTAGGGTTTTGGGAGGCTAAAAGATTGCATAATGGGACATAACTGTAATTTTTTAATACAACTCATAGTTAAAATTAGGTTTTCTGGTGAAATCAGTCATTTTCATGCAAGTTGTTATGAATATATCAGCCAAACTATTTAAGAACGATCGTTTCTTTAAAGCTTTCAAACATTGGGAGACACAGTGCGGTTTGATTTTGCGTGCAAGGAACTTTGTCTTGAAATTCATTAGATTTCACAAGTAGCGGTTCTCATATGCATTGCGGACGGTTATGATTGGTGCGGTAATTTCAAATTGCCGCCACTGTTTCAATCATATTGGGTTCTGCTGTGATACGTATTGGAACCAAATATCAAGCATGTGCTCTCCGCATAGCTTATAATTTTGTTCAAGCAAATCCTCAACATAGAATATGGAAAGGGTAAATGATTGCGGACCAGAGCACCAGCAATTAAACAGCAAGAGTTAATTAGACAGAAGGTCTCGTCAAACTTGAATGTCTGGCCGCTAGATTCAACCGAGATCCCAGCGGTGTGGAAGCTGACATCGTTTCTTCGCCCTGCATCTGCGTTCAGAGTAATTCACGCCGTTCTATGTTCAACCGCCAACTCGCGAGTGCCACTAGCAAGGTGCGAGACGTTCTTGATGCGTTTGCCTAAATGTGAACTCGTTTGGATTCAGTCTCAACTCTCATGTAGGAATGCACCCGTTAATCATTTTACTTGTATAACGTTCGATCTGGACACTTGTCTAAGATTTTGAAATTCAGAAACCTCCGGCGTTCTTCAACATATCCAAATGGAAGTAAGAAAGGTGAAACTGAAAGCCCCAACTGGCCACAATTATTCGAGTGGTATGGGCATGATGATACATACCACAGATTCTTATTCAAATCAAAAATATCGGTGCGGTTCAGTAGACCCGTATTGTGCCCATACACTTTCGAGTTTGGCTGATAGACTGGTAGCTGTTATAGATCAGTTCCCATGCCTTATTTTTTTGTTTTACCTAATTCTTCAGTTTTACAGCTACCCGTAAATTTGTGCATATAAAGCGTAGCCAACTGGTTTTTTGACTCCTCCTCTTTTACAAATGTTGTATCCGGGAAGAAGGCTTTGAGGTTTTTATTCAAAATTGGTACTTGATTCCCTTCAATGAAAAGTCACATATCATCCAGAAAGCCAAATCCGATGATCGGTCTGT